GGGATTTGAGCCAGTGGGATTTGAACTTCTTGATTTTAACATTCAGCCTACAACATATAAGCAAAACGTGAATGTCTTTGAGGGTGTGCAAGGGATGATTCTGTTCATCCACTGCTGGCTTTGTGGATGAAAGTGCTCCCACTTTGCTCTGGTCCATTCGCGCCCCATATCACCCAGTCAGGCTCTTCAGGTTGCTGCTAGCTATCACTGTATTTTCTCTCCCCATTCCTTCTAATCTCTGGTTACCCAGCACAGTCTACTTGATCTTTCAGCTCTGTATCCCAGTTCCAACTGCACATCCAGTCTTCTTCTAGAAGCATGTTTTCCTGTCTAGTGCTGCTTTTCTTATCCCCACAGTACTCTTTATACTCTTTTCCCACCATTCACGCATACTATCTTTTCTCCCAGTGCACTCACTGTCTCATACGGTCTTCTGCAACCTCACCCGGTTCTTCCCAAGCAGCTCCTTTTCAAAGCACCCCGTGCAGACCGAAAACAGTGAAAAGTCATTCATCTTCCATCAGAAAAGCTTGACTTTGGTGTGATGATAGCTTTAAAGAAACCACTTTTGAAATAGTGTTGTTACGTAACACTCTTAGCTTTGCTTTCTGTTTTGAACAAGTTTTTAAGCATCCTGATTACAGGAAAAAACTCCCATAAGCCTTAAGCATAATGGATCGTGATCCTAGTGTTTATTATGGTGTTAAAATCTTGTCACTTTTTGGTCATCTGCCATTCAATTTTTTATGATATATTTTCCAGTTCAGAAGCAGATCCTTGATAAAAATCTGTGTTTAAGTTGAAAAATCAAAATAGTGTATGGAATCAGAAATCAGTATTTGTTCAGACATTTTCGGTATTTTCTTTTTTTGTAATTTATATATTTTAAATGAGATGCTGACATGATTTAAATTGTATTTTATATTTCCTAGTAAGAAAACTTTTCTCATAATAATCGTGAGGTTTGAAATCAACTGCATTCAGTGAGATGAACAAAAAATACTTTTAAACATTGCTTAGTTTGTCAGCTACTACTGTGATCAATAGAAGAAGCTTGGGGGTTTTTAATGTGAAAATATATAAGTACTTATTGCTTGTTTGTGTGGGTGGATTGGGAATGCATGTAGACCCACCTGTTGCAGTTTAGAAGTCAGGGAAGAGAGAAATCTGCATTTCACAATGACAACTTTCTACTCAAACCTACATGGAAGCGTATTCATTCTTGTTAGAGGTTGCCTGATAGAGATGAGCCTGCCATGGCTCCGTGCCCCCACGTCCAACCAGTAGCGGGGCTGAACACGTGCTCAGTAGGCACATGTGAAACTAGAAGTGTAAAATCGAGTTGCTAAAATGTAGGTCAATACAAATAAAATTCTAAGTGGACTAGGTGGTTTAGATTCAATAATGTCTTTTAAGATATGTCAGCCAAATAGTCAAGTGGTGGGTGGAAAACAGATGACCCACATAGGGTCTGCAGCCTGCCTGGTTTGCCTTCCTGTGCCCAGCACAGGGGTGGGCTGTGGGCTGTGTTTAGATGGGAGCACCTTGGTCTCAATGCCACTTTCTACACAGAGTCTGGTCCTTCCACAGGATTTGATCTGTGTGGTGTGTCATTGGAACCAATGCGGACAACTGCCTCATGATAAAATGTCACATAAGGTCTATGGATCTTGCAAGGGTCTTGATCTACAGAAGTATTTTGGCATTACTTCTGGCTGCTAATGGGAAGCTATTTCCTCTGTGTTATCCACATTCATTCTGCTTAGTTTGCACAGGAGTTGAGGTGAGATTTCCAGTTCTGGGTGATCCTCAGCATCCACACCATACTGCATGTGAGTTAGAAATATGAGAGAAAGTTGCAACTTATTCATAAATGTTACCCTCCTTTCACAGGAATTATACCTGTGCTGTGTCAGATAGTGAAAGCAAACTCAAATTTGAAATATGAAAGTGAAAGTCAGGAGGGGATGTGATAACAAGTCAAAACCAGAAAACAACTGTTGAACCTCTTTTTTTAAAAATGAGATTCTGATCTAATTATAATAATAGTTATAGATAGATTTAATTCTGATTGCAGGGATTAATATGTTGAGGAAGTAACATCATAATAATAATAATAATATGGTACAAGCGAAGTCCACTTTTGGCCAGTCTTTCCCTCTTAGACCTGGTATTTTGCCTGTCTTGCATCTTGGACTCAATGAATGTGACTAAACAGTGTTTGCCAGACAGAGAAGTGCAGTGATGGAGGTAAACCTGTTTTATGCGATGCGTTATTTACGTGGTGTGCCTGTATCTCAGTGGTGTATTTTCAGACAAGGTCTCTTTGGCTAGGTTGTGGTGCAGACAGCCATGAGCCCTCGTTCTGAATCACTCCACTGTCTTCTGTACCTGTCAGGGTGTTGGCCTTGAGTGTGTATATCTTGTGTGAGAGAAGACATATCCTTGATATTCAGAATTCCACAGAGTAAACTGACCTTTTTAAAAGACTCTTTTTAAGCCAGGTAGATGGGTATTCAGCATTATGAATCAGACCTGGAACAGCCCCATCTTTTATTAATATAATGTCTCCTGATTTACTGCAGGAAGCCACTGAAGTGATTAAGTGTACCAGCAGTCTGCATAAAATGTCTAGGTGACCTCCAAAGCACTATGACAAATACCAAAGAAAAATTTTAAAACCTGTGTGATCAGCTTAACGAAAATTAAGGCCGTATCTCAGTTTGTTGGGAATGCTGTTAAAGTATGAAGACAGGTAGCGGCTGCAGAGTGGCAGAAGATGTAGGCCACATCTCTTTCCATATGACCTAAAATGAATGAGTACTCTGGGCAGAAAGTATCTTTCCACTGGAGTTTGCTTTGCAGTTTTCCTCCTTGGTGGTCTTCCCAGAAGAAAGCATGGGTAAATAGTATAAACAGCTAAAGAGTGCCCATTCTAACAGCCAATCTTGTCTGTTCTCTTTATGGATGCTTATTTTTGTACCATCTCGTTCGTCCTCCGTCTTGAAGAAAGAAGCGATGCATGTGTAGATGAAGATCTTCTGATTTGTCTTTAGGACAAAATTAATAAATCCCGGTAGCAAGTATCTGACTAAGAGTAAAATTGTTTTGTAGTGCCATTGCACCTTTTATCAGAAGATTTCAAAGCACTTAGGAAATATTAGCTAACTAAGCCTCACAACATCTCTCTGCAGAGAGGCACGATTTAAACTGAACGCAAGCCTGGCATGCAAGACACTGAAATTGACTGCACATACAGTCATTAAAATCCTGAAGGAATTAATCTTCATTGTGTAATCTATATATTAAAATGTCGTTAATCTCAGGCGGTCCCGGAAGTGATTTGTGGAACAGAGACTGCCCATAGATTACTCCTACTCAGCATTTGGGGTTTTTTTGCAGGATGGGGTGGGGCTGGAGTTGGGACCTGCTGTTCAAGCAGCGCTCTCCAGACAATCAAACATCACCTCCAGTCTGCCCTGTCTCATCTGGTGACTTGCTGCTACTGCTGTGCGCAAAGCGATGGGAAGTGTGTGGACAGTGCCATCAGGTGTGAGTTAAGGGGTGTGCTACCCCTTGGTGGAGCAGGAGCAGCCCGACCTCACACTGGCTTCTGTTTTGGTCCCACCTTTTTCTGCTCTCCAAGATAAGAGCCATGTCCTGTCTTGGCTGCAGCCCTTCCGTGTTGCAGCAGACACTGTCCTCAACCTGTGCCTACCCAGCTGCTGCAGAAGAAGAGACGGGCAGAGGCAGGGTGCTTGTTTGTATGGTGGATATAGGAAGGTGCCTTCAATGATGCAGGAAGGGTGAGCTGAGTCCAGGCTGCTGGTGAGGGAGAAAGGAAGAGACACAGCTATCTAAAGGGTAGAGCGAAGGCTGCTGCCACGAGCGTGGAGTGGGGGGTTGCTGCATCAAGGAGAGCACTGAGAAGGATAGCTACAGTAGGGAGAGCTGACCTTCAGGAGAGAAAGACGAGACCCCAGGCCGAGAATCTGGCCCTTCTGTATGTGCTGAGTTCAGGGCGTCCTCAAAGTCTGCCGCAGCCATGGGGATTATTGCCATGTTTCTGGGCAGAAGGAGGTGTACCTGCACTGTGTAGCACACGTGGCATAAATGCAGAGTCTCTGGGAAGTGTTGAACCTGCTGGGTGTATACTGTGAAGTTAATCCCTGTGTGAGCAGTAGGTGTTTATCCAGAAGAACCAGGCATTCAGCAGCCTGGACAAGTACCACAAATCCTCACATGCTGCCTGGAGACAGTTTTCTAGCTGCAAAGAGGGAAAAACGAATGTAGGGTAGCTCTAACCCACACGGTGAACATGTAGGTTAGCATGGGGGCTTCCACCCACGTGACCTACTTGTGGAACAGCTTCTTTTCTGAAATAAACAGCGCGATACCGTCCATGCCTGTTTGTGTAGGACGTGTATTTCTGTTGGCTGGAAGAAAGGAAGGTACAGTTGTCAAGCCCAGATGGAGGCTTTGAAATATGCATGATAGTGGCAGCTGCGTGTGGGAAGAATGACTTGAAGTGTGTTGAGGAGGAGGAGGCTTGTTTACTGCGCTGCTGTCTCCATGTAGCTGTGGAGTTGAATGGGGAGAGAAACGAGGAACGCGTTTCGTGTCCGTGGATTATTGCTTCGACAGTGAAGCCGGACGGTTTTTTCTCCAATATTCTTTACTTGTCTGAAAGTTCATAAACGATCAGTGAGTCGCAGTGAAAGAGGTTGCAAAGCAGTATCGTCAGTATTTGGTCAGTGTCGGATCCCCAAGGATCGAGGCCCTGTTTCCCTGAGCGGGGCCCTTCTGCCTGAAAGGTTCTTCTCATAAGCTGGGCCGAGGTGGCTGTGTGCTTGCTCTGGAGAGGAACACGTTGTTCTGGCAACCTTCCTCATCCTGGATTTTGTGCGTGCTCTTATTTATTAGTGTATTTTGTAGTCTGTGGATATGTAAGTGCTTCAGCCTACGTACCGCTGGCATTTGTGTGCCCTGTTGCATTGCAGCTGTTGCTGCAGGCCGGCCATGGTGCTCGAGGGGTGGCCCTCCGGTATGGCATGGCTCGGCCGAGCCATCTGCAGCTCACCCTCGGCCGAGGGGACCGATCGGACAGCCTGCCGCATGGTTTCTGGGCGCCTGCCTTCGCGCTGGGGAGCGAGGTCGGGCTGCGGGCCTGCTGCTCCCTGTCCGCAAAGGCAGCCTGCGGTCGCCAAGCTGGGGCTGCCCCTGAGGAGGTCCAGCTTTCACAGCTGCTGAGCACATCGCCTGCTTTCAGGAAAAAAGGCAATGCCAACCCTAGCCTAACGGTTATGAGATACATAAGAGAGAGTATGTGTATATGTACTTAACGATTATATATAAAAGAAAGGAGGACATGGGATATAAAATAAAAAGTATTGTATTAATGTGGTGAAGTGGAACGTGTCAAGTCCATTCACAAACAATTTGGGTATTGTATTTTTTCAGATTTATGTTTTATGTTTTCTGTTTTCAGTCATCTCATTAATTAACACTGTTCTGTGGGGGAGAATAAGGGTTTATGGCTTACTCTTTTTCTCACAAGAATATTTTCCAAGCGTGTTTCATTATAGGAACATTTTTCACATTCCCATCACAGAGCATGAAATTAATCTTTTCTGAAAAATTCCCTAGTAGCTCTTTCAGCTATGTGGCCCAAAAGGGTCTTTGACTTAATTAAAGGAAACTGATCTAAAAAGAAAGTTTGAACATGTAAAGGTACCTATTAGAAGAATATCAAAAAGGCATGAGTGAAACCTAATAAGAAACTTCTGAAGTCAGAGAGTCAGTTTTGGTGTCAGCTGTTTTACTCTGTGCTACTGCTTGGTTCGTCCTGCAGTGGACCCAGCACTAGGAGACTACCTTTGCTCTTTACACTTAGATAAGGTTATGTATCTGCTTCTGCAGAATGCCATTTAAGTATAGTAGATAGCTTCCAGATACAACTAATTCTGAGAGTAGCTGCCATTTTAATCTGTAATCATATGACGACTTCCAAATTTTTATCATTTGAAAATCTGCATCCTAAGTGATTTGTCTGATTTGAGCTTTAAGCTTACAGCAGCCAGATCTATGTCCGTTATAAACATCCTTCTCTTCCTTCCCTCTTTATTTTCTGGCGGGTGGGTGAACAAACCATGCTTCAGACATTTTCTATTCACCAAGTATGTCCAAGTATTTTATAAAGAACTACAGCAATAAAAGGAAGCAATAGCAATAATCATCCTTAATCTGACTTTTCCACAGCTTTATTTTTATCTTACCTCAACTGTGACACAGGACAGCAACGTAAACAGCCAAAGTTAGCTGTCATCAAATGTTTCATATAGCCAGTTCTCAGGAAATTGAGTAAATCTCTAAAAGCCAGTTTTCCCAAAGTCACAAAAGGAACTGAATTGATCAAAGTGTAGAACCATCAAAAAGGGAAATTTACAAGTGTTTGTTTCTGTGTTGGACAAACACAACATCTTTACAACACTTCAAACAGAAGATGTTGCCGCAAATGGAGTGTGAAAAAATTATCTGCTTAATTAGTGGTAAACAATCATGGCAGCAAAAGAATTTTAGGTGTTTATATTCTTGATTAATCATAGTCCAAATTTGCTCCTGATAATTTTAATTTGAAAATTATGCTAGTTTTATCGTTGTTCTACTTTCCTTCAAATGAGGATTTAGGTTCGTTAGTGCTTGAACTTCTGTGCATTCTTCATCCAGTTTTAAGGCCTCTAGGTGTTGGCATTTACATCTTAGTAATGTGAATGCACATCATTATCATTTGATACTGCTAGTATCTTGTCTTCACTTTGTATGTAGACATAGATGAGACTGAAGGTTCAGGGCATAGAAAATTAGACCAAGTCTGGATGAAGGCTTTCTTCTATGAAGCAGATGCCAATTAGAAATACATTAGAATAATCTGGTAGATAAACAAACTGAAGCATGGAGAACACTCTCTGAAATTTATAGTGCAACTTTTCCACCCGTTGCCAGGGTCCATAACTGACAATTATTTTTTGCCATGATAAACTTATCATATGGGCATAGCTTTATCAGCAAGAGGAAGACGCAAGTGGTGTTTATTTAGAAGTGTGTACATCTATATTTAAGTATGACCTTTCAAAGATGTCTATAAGGGAGGGAGGTATTCAAATCTTGAAGAATTCCTGCCAACTGTTTTCTGTCAAGGGCAAAAGGATTATTTAGTGAGTCTCATTCAGTCAAGAGTTTTGACTGTCTTCTTGTTCCAGAATGTCCTGAGCTTTAACATGTCATCATAGGAGAGTTAGTAAACTCAGTGGACTTCAGTTTATCTATAAAATGTGACAATAAATTATCCATTGTTGCTCCACTGGATGATGTCATGAGGTAGAATAAAACATGATTTTCCAGTGCTATGTAATTTGTGCTATGAATTCTGGTAGGTTTCCTTTTCAGTTTCTTTTGAAGTCTTAGCCATAAATGTTAAAAGGTTGTTTAGACTTTGCTGTAAGACTGTTTCTTCAAATAAACCAGTAATACAATATTGTTTAGCTACATTAGAGAATATTTCTCGTCTTAATATGTAGGATATGAAGCAAGCATCCACCTATTTTGTCAAATGTTCTGAACATTATGGAAAAAATTTTTAGAAAAAGAACAAAACAGCAACCTAATTTCACATGACAGTGCATACAAGACTCAGTTATGGACCTTCAGTGTGACTTATCTGAAAGTCCTTAGTATAGGCTTTGCATATTAATTTCATGCCACGTATGATTAGAAAAAGTGAGATTTTTCAAAAACTGGTGCAGTTAAAGCTAGGCAGCTGCCACCATCAGTGGAGTAGAAAGCGCAAAGAACATTGCATGCTTATGAGATCCCACCCAGAATGTACTACAGTGCCAAACAAAGGAGGTAAAATAACAGGACATGTCATGAGAATGGCGGAATCTTGTTTGAGAAGTGGAGCATGTGCAGGGCATGTAGCAACAGTCCCTCCTACCACGGTCTGCTTGTTCTCTCTTCTAGCTCAATATATCTCTGCAGAGCACAATAGATGTGAATAAGGTATAATAAACAGGCATTAGGATTCAGGGTTCTTTCTCTAGGTTTAAGGAGCAATGGTGAGGAATGGCGGACTCCTTTGGAGGCTATCCAGTTTTTGAAGTGTACATGTCGGAGGTGTTAAACCAGAAGACTCCAATATCCCAAGACAAACCGAAGCTTTGATTTCAGCCTTTACCAGCAACAGAGAAAAAAACTGTGTGACTACGTCCATATCTTGCCTCTTACATTTTAATCGACAGAAGACTCCACAAAGTGAAAATAAAACATTATCATCCTAGTTTGTTAATGTTTTGTCTACATTGCACACAGGTGCCAATGATGACCTGTGGAAATTCAAGTCCTTAAAACACTCGTCCAGTTGATACGCCCTTGAATAATACACCATTAGCCATTGGTAAGACTACCTGCGAAACTTTAATAAGCCTGTGCAAGAAAATAGTGCAGCATTTCACATGTGACTTGCCTTACAGATACTTAAGTGACAGTTTTTTACCAGCACTGTGCCTCTTGGTTAAAATCTGAATTGCTGCTGACACCAAGACTTAGAAAGATCCAAGAAAAAATACCGTGATGAGATACTCACCAAAGAATGCATAGCAGCACTGTAATGTGAACCGAAAGTTGGACACAGGATGTGAGTAAGAAGTCTTTATATGACTGGGAAACGGTGGACTGCAAAATTACATCTAAAAGACAAAACTATTGGTTTCAATATATTTTAGCTTCATGGAGATAGAAATAGATTTTGAACAGTCCACAGAGAGCTGAGAGCTGAATCTGTGATTACATCTGAAAAATCAAACAGCAGCTTTAAAAGGCAGTACTGGTACGTAAGAACTTCCTGACCTGTTTAGACAGCAAATGGCAATGAAACAACCAGCTACTTGTCTTTGTTCTTTCAGAGTGTCAGTAACAGATACATGCCTAAAAGTGCACAAATAGCTTGTCTTTATTCTAATGAGTGAGTTGAGCCTACCTAGTCTTTTCAGGCGTTACAGTCACAGAATGGTCTCTGGTTTTAGATGGATGACACAATTTGGATAGGGGCTTTTTTTTTTTTTTTCTTCTGTATGAACATATAAAATAGCAATCAGATGCTACTGAGTAGATATTAGTTAGTGATAGTCTGTTATACAAATTTACGCTCAAATCTTCAGTTGTTCTGTGTCCCTGACTCCTTTTTTCCCCCCCTAATTGGGTAACACGTTTGAAGTCTTACTAGTGAGGAGACACTTGCACAAGACCAACTAGTATTGCTGCAGTGTCTGTGCACCAGTATCCTCATGTGAAGCTTAAACCTGTAACAACTGTAGGAAAAGTCCTTCAGTAAATTGTGAAAACACTTCAGAAGTGTTTAAGATTTTGTGATCAGCTGGAGTCACTCTAGAGATATCTGTGTTCTGCAAACAAGGAAGAGATTTCACAGTCCTTGGCAAGACTAAACACTTTCCCTTACATGAAGCCCCAAACTTTGTGTAATCATAGGATCAGCCAGGTTGGAGGGTAAGCCAGGAGGTCACCTAGTCCAGCCCCTTGCTCAGATCATGCTGGGTTTCCTAGTACTTTGTCCACCTGAGTCCTGACTAGTAGGTTGAATTCCACTCTTCGGCACGTTAATACTCTTCTACAGTTACACATCCGTCTGTTTCAGTTGTATTGTAGAATTGCTCAATCACATTGTCTGCTAAGGATTTCACTGGTGATAATCCTGTTTGCTGGATGTGTGGTAATGTAACACGCTCTTGATCTATCATGTATCTTGATACAGCGTATTTTTGGATTCTTTTATCAGCACGGACTACACATCCAGGTTTTTCAATAGTCCTTATTGTTACATCTAGCTGGAGCATGTGTTACTGAAGTTTTTAAGAGGAACTTAAAACACAGAACTACTGAAGGTAATGGTTAAGCACCAGAATTAGAGTTTGCTTTAGTAGCAATTGTTTTTTTGACATTAGTCTTCTCTGCAGGTGCAGAGAAAGTATTTCTTCCTGTTATTTATTAGTTTAGTTCGATAACTATGTCATTCACAGAGAACGAAGAGAAATCAATTCACTGAGAAACCAACTGGGAGTTAAAAAGTAGGAAAGCTCATTTTCCTTCTTATCACCTGCAAATAACAATGAGGTGTGGGAGGATAATATCTAATAACTCTGAAATCTTGTAGGGCATGGTGAAAAGAAACAGTAGATCTGGTTTTACTCACTGCAGAAAAAATGTCATTTGTTCAGTATGTCAGATTTAAATACATAATGTGTTGTTTT